TACAGGTTTGAAAACTTTGGGTAATCTCTATAACATAGAAGGTGCTGCTGAAATTTTTTTTAACAATTAAATTTAATTATGTAATTATTTGGATAAAATTGTGTAGATGCATAGAACAAAATCAATAGTTTGTCGCTTATATATAGTCGCATCTAGTTCTTCTAACAGTGAGAATGACATATCCTTAGGTGCCGATCAAGACGAGGCACCTACGCCATCTCACGATGCTACCTCTTCCAGCGCTGCTTCATAGCACAAAGGTAGTATACTTGTGTCGCACGTCAAAAAAAATCCGCGCGGCGTCGGCTCCGATGATTTTTCATCGTTATGATTTGATTTGATCTTGTTGGATTCGTTAGGAGTCGCCATCTAGTATTTAATTGAAGGTTACTAGGAAACCCGGTTATACTAGTCTTGTCAGAGATTCGCGGGTAAGGGACCAATTGTGGTTAGGGAAGGTATTAGCACCCCTAACGCACCCTACCTGAGGTAAGCTGCTTCATGGACTTGATGTGTTAAAGAAGTTTTAAAAATTTTGTCTTTTCATCGGATTTTAGAAATACAACTTTCGTACAAGTTTGTACTTCTACACCGTGATCCAATCAAAATATTAAATTCTTCTTTATTCTCTGCAATTTTATCATAAATAAAAAGAAAACATTCATAAAACAAATACAAAAACACACACACACCTGTATTTTTCTTTTCTTTTTTTTTCTTCTTTTTGTTTTTCTTTATATTTACAAAAATACAAATAAAAAACAGGGTATGACACTGAAAACAATACGATATTTAAAAAAAATATATGTTTTAAAATCTAATTCGTCACTATGGACAGCCCTTAAAAACCCTAGAAATCGCAGAGATGGCCTCCTGGACAGCGTGAACAGTAGCGACCCGTGAACAGTGACGACACGTCCTTCCACTCGCCACCATCACTGGCGGCGCGTGGATTCACGCGCCATTGCCACTGAAGAACAACAGCCTGGTGGATCGAGATCGTCTCCTTCTTCTCTTCTTGTCCGTACCGGCGAAGCATCTCTCAATCACTTGCAAAGCAACCCAACAACACAAACAACAAATTTCACTTTTGTTTTCCCCTTTTCTTTTAGATCTGCCATTATCTCCCTCCGTTAATGCTTTCTTCTGGGTTCAACGCCGCCATTGCTTGTTGCCGTCTGGATGGTTGAAGATCGGAGAAGAAGCTGTCGGGGTTGGTAACGTGTCGGTGGTCTTCGCTCCTGTTGGTGGTCGGCTGGAGAAGAAAATCAGAACCAGGGGGAACGCTGCTGCTGACAGCCAAGACCGGATGAGAGGGGAGTGAGAGGGTGGTCTGTTTATGGTGGCCGGGTTGGGAGAAGAAGATTTTTCGCCGGGTGGGGGGCGGCTGCTGGGCTTGAAAGTGATAGTTTAGGGCTTCTCTTTCCTCTTGTTTTTTTTGTCAAAATTAGACCCATCTGGATTTGTGAATGAAGGCTGGATTGTCTGGTGGACCCGATAAAAATCGAGTGTACAAGCTCTCCAACACTACAGCTAAGAACTTGCGGGCGACCTGTAGTGTATCAACCATTGGGAGCTCCCAATCAGTATCGAGCACCCGATCCAAGTATTTTTTTGAAAACAAGCAATATCAACATCGACTCAATGATTTTAAAAATAACACGTTAAACACGTTTCAAATATCTTTGAAAATTTAAATTCTTTTGAGATGATGTTGAAAATGCTAAAAATGATGCAAATATATTTAAAAAAAATGTATTTTTTGGATTTTCATTGTTTTTTCTCTTTTTTTTGAATTTTTCTAAAAAATTATCAAAATATGGATAAAAATTGGGGAATAACCTAAAATTGGGTTATGACAACTTGCATAGCGGAATCAATTCACCCACAAGTATGAGATATATTGGAATGATGACCTTTCAATGTAAGTTTTTATCAGCGTTTAAATCATTGATGGAGATCTTATTATTTCATTGGAGTCATGTTTTCAGACATCCTGAATGGAGATCTTATATTGATGCATGGTTTGACAAATTTGAGATTGGTGTTAATTTCTAATTTCCAGCTTATTTTTAATAAATTATTGTTATAATTGTAAATAAATTATTATTTTTATTTTAAATAAATTGTTTATACACAGGAAAAATTCAACTAGGATGGTACACTTGACAATTTTGTTAAGATGGTGTGGGAAAATCAATCAGCAACTAGGTATGACATTGAAAACAATACGATATTTAAAAAAAAATATGTTTTAAAATCTAATTTGTCACTATGGAAGTAGGTTGTGTGACTTTTAGTATGAAGCACAAAAAAGGCCAAAAAAAAAGAGAGAGATAATGGTCTCTAAGGCTGGAATGACGTGGCAGTTTGGAAGGATTTCAAACCGCTATATATCCTGGGAGATATATGTCTGTAATATATTAAACACGTGACATCTGAGCGGTTCCAGTGCTGGCAACCGAAACTGGAAAATTCATGGTTCGGCAACAATCTAACTGGTGGCTCCGTTCCATTTGCTGCACGTGCGAAATGAATGGTAAGATTAATTTAAATAAATATATTGTTATTTTAATTTGTTGTTACTTAATTATTATTTTTTTCTTACAGACTATGTCTCTTGGACGTGAGCCGAGGCCAATGAAGCTGTTTGTAGAGATGTACATGTGGAGTGAAGACTGCTAAAAGGGGGTGCAATAGTTCGTGACAATTATGCTCAATACTTTGTGGTCTGTTTATTCAACCATTTTATTTTATAAGTTATTATTTTTCATGAATTGAATATGATGATTTCTTTCTTCATTTTCACGAGACCTATAATAACCGGTTGGGAGAGAGATATAAGGATGATCCTTCGACCCATCCGGATTTGTGAATGGAGGCTGGATTGTCTGGTGGACCCGATAAAAATCGAGTGTACAAACTATCCAACACTACAGCTAAGAACTTGCGGGCGACCTGTAGTGTATCAACCATTGGGAGCTCCCAATCAGTATCGAGCACCCGATCTAAGGAGTTCGTGGCCTTGCATCAACACACGGCTTATCTCACCGAAAAATAAGAGCAACTATCAGCAAATTATGAACAACACACTACTTATCTCACCGAAAAATACAAGCAACTCCCAGTGAATTATGAATAATTTCACCAAATGGTCATGAACATGACATCACAAAGTGGTGGTCATATGCTACCCCTTTTCAGCCATATGGTCCCAGGAACCAGCATTCTCCTCCTCCAGCTCCGTCATTGATCTAATTTAATATTTTTTTTGAAACACATTTAATTTGTAATGAATATTATTTAACTTTATTGTTTTATTTTTGATGTTTAATAAAAATTTATTTACATAAATGGGTTTTTTACTATTAATTTATATATTTTTATATTATTTATTCTAAATATTTTAAAAAATTAAAAAACCCCATCGATGGATTTACAGATAGAATATATTCGTCAATATTGTATGGAGAGTTGAAAAATATTTACTAGAAATACTACAATCACCAATGCTTTTACTGACAAATATAGTCTGTTGGTATTGTATAAAGAGTTGAAAATATTTACTGGAAATATCATTATCACAAACGAAATAAATTCATTAGAGTATTTCTAGCAGAATTTTTTTTGTGTGTACATTTTTCGTATGTAAAACCACTGGTAATATTTTTTTCTAGCAGACATAGCGACTGAATATAGTATTACCTACGAAAGATATGCCGACAGACACTTTCTCGTACTAATGGATTGTGTCCGTCAGTAAAACTCTGTGTGTGTGTGTAAGGGTATCTATTTATTGAAGTATGTTAAAGTAATAAAACTTTTATTATTGTCGATGACAAATCGTTTGTTCTTAAAACCTCACATATGTAATTAGGATGTTTGGAATATGTCTTTCAAGATTCCAACAACACCATATTGATTTAGATGAACTTCTGAACTAGGTCTTTGAACCAAAAAATATAAAATTCAAATATCTCTCAACAAGATGAACCTAAGATCTTGATTTAGAAGAAAAATCAAAGTATAAAAGAGAATCAAAACACTAAAAATAAGGTGAGAAATAGTATAGAAAAATCTGAAAAGTTCAAGTTAGAAACTCTTATTTCACCTACCGGTCTTTTATAATGAATTTTAAAAACTAAAAAGTTGAAGAATTAATAAAATTTAATTATCATCATTATTAACTAATGATTAATCACTATAAATCTAGAAAATCAAGAGTTTTTTTGAGTGAAAAAAGAAAATGTTCTTCAATATTAATTTATTATTCACTACTCATAATTTGTTTATTTAAAACAAATTACCAACTATTTCTTTGCCTGGCTAATACATTTGTACGTGTGTAAACTGCAAGGATTCCAAAGCAAAGAACCTTTACACATCAAGACCTCCATGCCCTTTTATTCTAAACCAATATTTGTCAAAACTGTTCTGCATAAAATCTTGCAATCCCAGGGAAAAGTGGGCAGAAAGCTCCTCTCCATTTTCGAAAGGGGTTTTCTTGGGCTTTGATTTCCACTCAAAACATTCCGCATTTCCTCTCCAAGAACCTCCCAAACCTTTTTTTTGCTCACTTTTTCACCACTTTGCCCTTAATGTTTCAAAAGTTTTTTTTTTTATTTAGAAGGAAAACCAATAAAATAAAGACAAATCCCTACTAATCTCTTTCTATCATGTTCTAAAGTTTCACCTCCAAAGTTCTAAAGTTTATCACCTCCAAAGACTTTCTCACATCTTTTCTCTTTCTTTCTGAACTTGTAGTGAGATTTTTTTCCTCTCCCGACACCACACACAAACACCACTCAGAATCCTGAAAACCCCTGCATTTCAGGTTCCTAAGGACATGAAAACCACCCACTGAAGTAAACCCGCTCCTAAGTTTCCATTTTCACCAATCTTTAATCAGTTTTTTTTCTAGCAAACAGAACAAAAAAATAATAAAAAGCCCAACTATCAAAAACCCTCAAAAAGTGCACCTGCTTAGAAACTATTTCTCAATGTCTACACCATTAGACCAGCAGCAGCAGCAAGAAACACCATCCATGGAAGTGAGCCAACAAGCTGCCTACACCCACAATGGTCATGGGTCGGTTGGACCAGTGATAGCAGTTCTAGCAGTGATCACTATATTGGGAGTCATAGCAGGAATGATTGGCAGGCTTTGTTCAGGTCGTCGGATCTTGGGTCATGGACAATACGATTTTGAGGGTTGGGTAGAAAGAAAATGCTCCTCTTGTCTCGATGGCCATGTTGACCCGCCTCCGGCCCGACACGCAGATATTCCGGTGGCAGCTCCGGTGGTGGAGGAGGTTCCGCCAGAGATTAAAGAAGAAGAGCAAGAGCAACAACAAAGTGAACATAAGCCACATCCAAGTGCCAGTGGATCTTGATCCCTCTTTCTCGATACTAGTAGTGTATCATGGAGTTTCAAGGGATTTCTGCTTCTTGATTTCGTTTAATCAGTTTTCTTTCTTTATTTTTATTTTTTCATTGTTCTGTTTAGGGTTTATTTTGATGGGATAAGCGACATCATAGAATGAAAATCCTGAGCACGAAAACATTTTCACGTTAATGAAATACAATCCATTTTTGTTTTGTTGAACTTTGATCTGGATTGGAGTTCCTGACGAAGGCTTTTGTCTTTATTTATTGTTAGCATAATTTTTAATAACAAATGAAATATTGATCATATGCTCATTGAGAAAACTCTCTCGTTTTTTCGATACTTGAGACTCAAGAGAGTGGTTTGGTTTTCATATTATCCGTAATCAATTAACTTTGCTAATTGCTAGTGATCATGTATAAATGGATCGATGTGTTAATAATCTTGTTTTCATGGTTATTTTTATACAGTCCAGAGCCCAGGAATTGCTCTAGAGCCTTTTGGTTACTTTATTTGCAAGATTTTCATCAATATCGCCCATTTTTGATTTATTGTTGTTGGCTACATAGGATTCTCTTCTCTGCGACTGCATCTTAAAAGAAGCATTCCTTTGTTATGCATACGAGACAAATGTCTCATGCCACTTCGGAGATTTCGACTCCCACCGGACAGACAGGTGCCGTTATCTTTTTTCTGATGTTGTGTGGATGGTTCCCGTTATCATGTGCTTTAATCCCTTAAGACTAGTTTAAACTGGTGATTGATGTAGTCATTAGACCTATATTTCCGCATGTCACTTTCCATTGTCGATGTTGAGAAATAAGGTAAGCCCTAGTAGTCAACTTTTCTTGCTCGTTAAGGACCAGTGACAGTGGGCAAGCACTATGATCTATAGCGGTCGCAGCATCGTATTAGAGGAAATCTGCAACTCCTGCTGGCTTTTAGATTTAAGAAAGTAGTAACTATTGTTATTTTTCTTCGAGAATATGATGGAAAAGGTCTTATGGAGTGATTATTGTTCAATTCAAGATATATATATAAATTGAGTTTAATTGTTAGATTATAATGCTAAAAGACTCTTGGTATCAATGTAAAAGGAATATTTCAAATGTCTAAGGATCAATGCGTAAAAAAATAAAAGTTTGAAAATATATCTTTCGGATCTTTATTTTGAACATTAGATTGAAATGTGTACTGGATGTTCAGACCTGAACCGCTCACTCTAACATATTGCTCAAGCTGAAATTCATTCAAAATTATTACTTGATTTATGACAAACGGCAAACATATTAACCGGATGTTCTGAACATAAAATTTTAAAATAATCATTCCACCAAAACATATAATCAACAACAATTAAAAATGAAAACTTATTGGGGGTAGTGATTTCACTGTGCATATAGATTCTATGCACAGTAAATGAAAATAATGTAATGACTGTTTTGATCTTTTCTATAAACTCATTTGTTAGGCTTCTAGGGTACTTTCGTAATTGCATAAGGACCAATAGTAATATTTATGAGGTCAAAGAAGTCTTTTTCACTTTTTAAGTGCATAGTATCATGGCTATAACACCCTTTGAAATCAAAATAAATCTACCTTTTCTTGCCTTGACGGGGACAATCATCTTTTGTTTAAAACTACATAGTCAATTTACTTGTTATCCTTAATTCCATACTTTTTTAAACTTAGATGTAAGAGCTTCTTCATCTTTTCAATGTAGGAGTTATGTAATTATAGGATAGATACTGGAAAATTTCATATTTTAAAACGAGTAATTAATATTTTAGAAATAAATACACATTGAATTTACTTGATTACATCTAAAATAAGAAACTTTTAAGCTTGAGGTTAAAGGGCTTATTTGTCCATTCATTGTGATTTTTTTATAATTCTGGGGTTAATAAATAAAAGATTTTGTTTATTTAAAATGAATCATTAATGTTTTTTATTGAAAAATTATTGGAGCATGCAATGCACGTGCTAGTGCTTGAAACTGCTTTGAGCGCTTCAAATTACGCATGCAACAGTGTTAAGAGGTGAGAATTATGCAATTGCGACAACTTTCAAAAGCTCGTAGAGTCGTCGCCTATATAAGATAAAGCGCATGGTGGGGCGTGTAGAGATTTGACTCTGGTAATGTCTTTTTTTTCTTTTTCTCTTTCTTTTTCCTTTAAAAAACAAGTTGTTTAAGCAAAAAAAAAAAAATCATGATGCCCTCTTATTGTTTTGAGATATCTAATTTAGTTCTTTTTGTTTTTGTTGAATGATTTTCATCTTGATTTATTTTATAAACTTTAAATTTGTTTTTAATTTCATCACTGATTGAAATGCTATTTGCTTTTTTTATTTTGTTTTGTTTTCATATTTGAACCTTTTTATTTTGAGTTTTTGTTTTGATTTTTTTTATAAAATGTTTGAATATTTTCAATTTTGACCTTAAATAAATAAATGTTATTTTCCTTCTTATACCTGAATCATTATTATTATTATTATTATTATTATTATTATTATTATTATGTTTTTTTAGAATACACTTGTGGTCTCTTGACATCCTTTTTTGATGTTGAGATTTTTTTAACTACCGGTGGCGGAGCTTAGATGATGACAATAGTTTCATATAATTATTAGAATAATAAAAGAGTAACAAATTAGTTAAAGATGCCATTTTGCCAGCTTTTCTTTTCTCGATCAACTATGAGCAAGTAGTCAATTATGTAGAATCAGAGGTACTTCTGATATCACCATAAAAATAATTGTCACATTGACCAATAGGTACCTATCTTAGCAGGAGAAAGGTTTGGCAAAAATTTACCGCTGGGAGTTGTGATATAGTTGAGATTACCAAGAATTTAACAAATATAAATAAAAACACCCATATAATTTTTACAATAGATTATAATAAATTTTATTGATAGACTTTTTCATACTATATCCCTCATTAAAAATCAATGGAAATATTCTATTGATATATATCAAGAAAATTACAGTGAAAAATTTTTTTTTAAAAAAAACTAAAAAAGTACAATGACGTGTATGAAAATTTTAAAAAAAAAAACTAAAAAAGTACAATGACGTGTAACTTTTACCAACAGATTTACAAATAAAATTAACCCGATGGTAAAGTTTGTATATAAATATACTGATGAAAATCATCTCTTGGTATATACCGATGAACTTACAGATTGTATTATATTGGGATGACATAACATATTTTACCAATAGAATGACCGATGAAATGCCCGACAGAATAATTTTATCTATAATATTTAATTTTTGACCTAACAATCTACCCTTCTCTCTCTTTCCTCATTTCTCCTGTTTTATGCAACAAACAGTCACCCCCCTCAATCTCAACACAATTCAACCTTCCACAACAAATTTAACCAACACAACACTCGATTTGTCAGCATTCATATTCTTATTTAAATTTTATTGAGGATTCTCCACCTTAAGTAAGCAAATCTATCCTTTTTTTTCTTTTAAACATAATTTTTAAATGTCACTTTTTTTCATATTTTTATAGTATATATATTTTTTTGGTTGTTAACTTATTTTATAGTTTTTTCTCATATAATTGTATTGTATGGATTTATGATTTGTACATATTATGGTTTGTTTTGGGTTTTATAAAATTATATTTGATTGCAAATTGATGAAACTTATGTTGAATTTTTTACTTTGGTGTTTTATGATCAAAATAAATAATGGTTTATTTAACATGTTCATTTTATATTTTATCAATTTTATTGTCGAGTTGTAATTTTTGGTAAATGTGTAGAAATTTTAATTTATATAGATATATAATTAATAATGAATTAAAAAACTGGTAAAATATATTGAATAAGATTGAGCTAAACCAATATTTTTACAAATTATTTAGTTAAAATAGTTAGTTAATGCATGTTGTCATCATTATTTAAATAGGTTTGATATAAGTAATGGATGATCGTTCATAGATGTATCGAGATTCACCTCAAGGGTTGCAAATGATAGATTATTGTAATGGGGTTCATGGTTTTATTAATTACATACTATATAATCTGAGAAATATTAGTGAAGGTCATATTAGATATCCATGCAAAAGATGTAAGAATAAAAATACTTATCGATCCAAATGTTATAATGATGCATCTTCTACAAAAAAAAAGTTCATGAAGAAATACATATGTTGGTATGCACACGGAAAACTATATGTTCTTCATGATGTCATAGTAAAGAGGATGGTTGGGTCAACTTATAGTGATAACAACGTGCATGGAGTTGTATATAACAATAATAATCCTTATAAGAAGCTGGTTATATATGTGATGAGAATGAATCAAAATCATGTTGGTCAATGTCAAATCATAGTAAATTATTGATTGTTACGTAGGTGTTCACCATCAAATTGGATCATAAGTTGAGTAAGACTAGTCATAACAAAATTGTCAAATAGGTGAGAAATATTTTACCTAAAGGGAACAAGCTGAAAGAGAACTTTTATGCTGCTAAGTTAATGATGAAACCCTTTAGTATAGAATACTAGAAAATTGACATGTTTCCAAACTTTTATATGTTGCACTACTTTGAAAATACAAAATTAACCAAGTGCAGAAAATGTGAGTATTCTCGTTATAAACCTAGAATTGACAAAGAAAGGACTCTTGTCGCACACAGAAAACTTAGATACTTCTCAATCACACCTAGATTGTAGAGGTTATTCATGTCACTAAATAATGATGAGCATGGCATTAATCAAGTGATGCAATGGATAGAGTGATGGTACACATTTCCAATGGTAAAGCTTGGAAACATTTTAACAATGTGCATCCTTAGTTTTCAGTGGAATTAAGGAGCGTGCCTCTTGGGTTTTGTACAAATAAATTAAATCCATTCAGGTAATTTATTACACCTTATTCTTATTGACCGGTGATACTCATAATTTACAACTCACTATCAGGAATGTGTATGACGCCAAAGTTCATGCTTTTATCTATGGTCATACCCAATCTTAATATTCTGGGT